CCCCCCGCGGCCCCTCGCTGCCCCCCGCGGCTGCCCACGCTCCCTTCCGCAAAATCCCCGCGACCCGAGCGCTGTCGCGGCCGAGGAGACGAGCGGTGTCCCACGAAGATGCGAGCCAAGCCAGGGGCGATGAGCGCTGCCGTAGAAGCCCGATGGTGGGAGCCAACCTGAACTGCAAGGCCGGGCTAGATGGGGCTCTGAGCGACCAGATCTGGTGGCAGGTGTCCCTGCCCACTGCAGGGGGTTGGAACTAGGTTATCTTTAAGGTTCCCTCCGACCTAAACCACTCCATGATTCTTAAAAAAGGTGGGGATTTTCTATTTCTAATATGGATACACTTTTTATTCTAACAGTGTCATACAGGGATGTAGGAGCTTAACAGCCACAACTGAGGGGTCCGAAGAGAACAATGCAGCTATGTTAGCTGCACACTCAGGTAGCAGAAACAGGAGATAAGATTTCTGTGGAGGGAGGTACAACAGGTGGGTTGAAGAGCAAACACTGGAAGTGTCTAGAAACCATCAATAAGAAAAAAAATCCTGTGTGAAACCTACTAGCTTTCACAGATCCCAGTTACTACTAACTAAGGCTGAACTTTATTTCCCGGTGGAGGAATCTGTTCTGCTCACAACCTGGGGGCCTCACACAAATCTCAGTGTATTCCAGCTGTGTGCCACCAGAGCAGACAGGCTTTGTTGTACTGGTGGCACCTGACTGGAGTCAGGAGGCAAGCAGGGGTAAGGCTTATTTTGAGAGGTCGCACTGCCGACACCACTATTGCTAGTTGCTAAGGTAGCTAGCTGGTCAGGTTTCTTTCAGGATCAACTGGAGAACAGTAAGTCATCCACTCTTTTTGGATGCCCCCCTGCTGAGTTTTCAAGCTGAAATGGCTGCTCAGGTTAACCCTCCTGGCTGAGGTCTTAAAAAAAGGGATTTAAGGTAAAGTAAATGCTGTAGGGACACCCTTTATATAGGCTGCCCAGATACAGGAAAACAGGCAAGGAAAGGCAAAGGCACACTTACAGGTCTGACGTGATTCTGCTTGCTTACTTAATAACAGCTTGGTGTCTTCTTTCCACATAAATGCTTCTCTAGTCAAAGGAATGATTACCTGGCTCGATATCACGCTTGCTTCTCTCAGTGCTTGCTGGTTTGCTGTTTGCGAAGGTGCAATCTGCCCTTGAAGTTGAGGACTCGGGACGAGCTGAGGAATGGCCCCTGACCTCTGCTGTAGCTGTTGTGGCTCGGGCTGCTGAGTACTGCTAAAGCTCAGGGACACTGTCGGCTGCTGTAGGAACATCTGGAAAAGAAAGGAGGAAGGTTTCTTTACATAGCACAGCTGTCTTGGATGATAAAGGTGACAGAATTAAATCCAAAGTTATACTCTAAAATAAAGTTACCACATTTCTGGATTCACTATGCATTTACTGTTACAGGAAATCACTTATCTTTCCTACATTAACAGTTCTACTGTTTCTAGGTTCTTCATTTCTTGTTCTGCAAGTGCTGATGAATTGTGTCCTGAAGGTACAAGTCCTCTCCCTGTGCGGCAGGCACAGCTCCAGTGAGAGCAGTTCCCTGTACATTCCCTGTGTTCTGGGGCATCCTGACCAGCAAGAAGAGAGTAACTCCGTGTGTCTTCAGTCCTTTCATTTCTCCTGTCAACAAGATCAGCCTGCCTTTCAGACAGGGCTGCTTTTGAATTTGTCTCTGGAAATTCAACACTTCACACAGCGTTGGGCTGTCGAATGTTTTTAATGAGGCCACAGTCAGGCCAGAGCTCTCCGTGTTGAATGGCCGTGTCCTTATCATTGAGAAGATGTGTAAACAGACAGTCGCTGTCATTCCTCTGATTTCCCATCGGGTAACTGTCACCTGGTGTTCTTCCTAACTGTGCCGTGCACTTGACTTGTGCAAAAGAACTACCAGCTTCTCTGTTAGTGTTTCTCTAAATTATATACTCTCCATCCTTGCACTGCAAGATGAAGCTTTCATCTTTAAAAGTTGTAGGGCTTGGGAATTTTTTGCTTTTCTAAGGGCTATTTCCTTTATTATAGCTGTACAGAGGAAAAAGGCATTTTTTAAAACTATGAATTATTAATGCTACAAGCTATCTTTGCAATATTTCAAACCTAGCCTCTTGCCACCAAGGACTGTACGGAGGTATGCCTCCCACGTAGCTGAAATAATGTTTGGATCTGATTCTGATTCCACACCACTGCTACACGTGTGGAAACCCATTCATTTAAGTGGAGCTACTTAGAGTTTAAATGAAACCAGAGTCACATTTATTCTCTTCATTATTTATCCATCAGTCTCATGCCTAGCAGTACATCTGAGGTACGCCCAGTAATTAGTACACCTTTCTGCAGCTTATTGCTGTATTAATAATTCCCTAAACTATCATGTCCCCTCTGATTTTTCCTGGAACAAAACCCATACCTTTCTCCAAAGGCACAATACATTGCTTTTCTTTGCATAAGTATGGGTTGATCCATCATGTTTGTACTTATTTATCTGGCTTTTAAAACACACTTTGTATTTAAATATGATAAGTTTTAAAGTTAATTTCTGTGTGCCAAGATTTAACTCAGAAGAAAGGTACAGACAAAGCTTACATTGATCAGCTGGGAGAAGGGAGCAATTAATGAAAATGTTAATGGACCCAAAGCAGCGGCTTGTTTCAGGTGCTGTAGGCTAACCACATCTCAAAGACTTCTGATAGAAATAAATGGGTCAAGTAACAGAGCTGGGGCTGCTCGCAGCAGGTCTGAAACTAGCTCCAAGTGTTTTCTTTTAAAAACACTGCTCACTGAGTTTGGAGCCATTGCATATCAGAAAGACAGATGGTCTCACAACTTCTGCCAAGTAAATAAGTCTTATTATGAATAAATCAAAGACAGGAATTATGAAAATTCATTTCCGTGTTTATTTTCTGTATATAGCAGCTCAGCCTTGGACATGTTTGGTAAATGAACTCACTTGATTAGCTCTAGCAATGAAACTGGTCACCCCTGATATAAAATTTGATATAAACCTCTTGATATAAAATTCAGAACAGGTAAAGCAAATAATGTCTTTCAAAAATGTGCTGGGCAGTGTGAGCCCACCACTACTGGCCAGATCACAAATTAAGACCTTCTAGGAGGTTTATATTAAGTGTTCTCCCTGCATGGGGTGCACAGGGCTGGAGAATACCAAGTTCACCCAGTGCAAAGTCAGAGTCTAATGATGTGAATGTCAGGCAGGGCGTGAACTTGCAGTGATTGACCTACTCTGTGGGGACCTGCCCGTGTGCATGCCTCACTGCCAGGTGAAGGCCAAGGAGCTTGTCCTTGAGAGAAAGCAGAGTAACCTACTTTGCAATTACCAGAGTGTGCCACCGGGTAGCAGCATGATGGTTAATGGCCAGCAGGTAACACTCTATAAATTTACAACCAAGTTTATCCCAGTAAACTGATTTCATTTGTTCATGTGTTTTGTACCCTGACAGGCCTCTGAGTGGTTCATACCTAGGAGTCCCTCTGCTGCATTATAATGGCCAAAGCAGCATTATTACTGTCTGAACATAAATGTCCTGGAAAAAACAGGCTCGGGGGAGGAAGCGATGGTGCCATTTAACCTGTGCCCCTGCAGAACTCAAGATGCCTCATCAAAACAAGAGTTAACTTGTGAGAGGATCGAAGCATGCAATTTCTACCTGCCAGTTCAGTCTAAAAGCAAGAATATGCTTTATAAACAAATACAAGTCTGTACCAAACTTGGTGTTTTTTTGTAATGTGCCTCTTTTGTGATAGTCCTGCCTGAAGTCCCCCAGAACACTGAATTCCCTCAGCTTTAGATAACAGAAGCCCCTTAATAAAGAATGAAATCTTTTCCAGTCTAAGCAAACCCAAGCAGATAAATTAGCAGCCGCCTCACCGCATTGCTGCTAATGACGTCTCATGGCTGATTTTGTGGACTGCAAGGTCAGTGAAGCAACTTACAAATATTTTTTAATTGGCCAGCTTGTTAACATATGCAGCAAAGGGGAGGGACCCTCTGACACCGCTGCCCCCTCATTCCAAGATAGATGGTCCCTACAGTTAATGGATGAATCACACTGGCAAGACATCGTGAAGAAATGGTCCTTTGACTCTACCTGTCCTTTGGATAATCAGGGGCTCATAGCCTTCGTGCTCATCATTACAGACATCAAGACACTTTCTTTATGTAAAATACAGCAAGATGAGAAGCACAGCACTGGGAGCTGAGATTCACTGGCTTCGAAGGGAGCCTGGTTTGCAAATGACGGGTGGCTGCGGATGGTCTCGTTTGTAGTTCTCGCCAGGCTGGTCAGGCTCAGCTCTTCTGCCATCCTCCCTGTCTGCAATTCATTAGCTAGACTGTTCAAATCTGGAGCAGACACAGCATCCTTCAGACTTCTGAGGTTACTCTTGCTGCTCTTCTCCTTCCTCCTTTCATTTGTCAGGGAAAGTGGTAACAGGGATTTAATGGAGTTTTGAACACTTTTGTTCAGGACCCACAACCCTCCTGCTAGTTTCATCTTTCACTACACAAGGCTCTTGGAAATAGTTTCTAAAGCAGACTACAGTGCTCAGAATCTGTCTGGTTGGGAAAGCGTTTCTTGGTGGACTTGCTGTACTGCAGTTTTGAAGATCTCTGAAGGAAATGGAGCTTAATTCTCCACAGAGCTACCTGTACACTTCTGTGTGGAAGGGAGTGAACCCGTGGGGAGGATATGCTAATACATCAGCTAATGAGGGAAACCTGGAGAACACTTCCTCCTTTTCAGACAGCCTACGGCACTCCCCCATGCTTACAGACCTTCTACACAGAATATTAAAGACACCAGAAATGTGCTTGATAGTGATGCCTTCCTGTTTGCTACTATGCTTTGTAGCTCTGATAACAGACACAGATCGATGTGTGCAGACATCTAGCTCCCTGAATGATGAAATCCATGCAGCAAAGCATGTGGTTGGATTTCTGATTTAACAGTTTACTCCTCACTGCTTGTGAGTCACCAAAGTGCTGCATGCAAAAGTATGAGGCTTTTTTTTCAGTTCCCTCTAGCCTAGTAAGACAAAGCTCATTCTTGGTCTCACTCTGTCCCTGCGACAGGACAGCAATTTCCTTAACCTAGAGAATGAGGGAGAAGGAAAAGGCCCTGGCCTTTGAGCATGACCACTCAAGTCTCATCACCCTGCTCTGAGGAGACTGAAAGGCACCCACACTACAGAGGATGAACATCCCCGTCCTGCATTGCCCACTCAGGTAGATATGCAGACCCTGCATTTCTGAGCTGCCCTCCGTGCCCTCTACCTCTCAGTTTGGCATCTCTAGTAAGCTGGAAAATGGTCAGTACTGACACCAGAAAGCGTATACTGGTCTGAAAATACTTGATCCAACCTGGTATAGTCTTCATGGGGGAGAGGATCACCCAAATGGTATAAATCAGAGCTACAGACTGGCATAGGATGGGCAGGACAGAACTAGCCACCGTTTACCCACTAGGCCTCCTCTTCTGTCTGCTTGAGCTCCCTATGAGCGAACCTAAAAATCTGTCCCACGGTCTTTGGGTTATTAAATGCACCCTACTGCATATGTGAGACAGCTATGTAAAAATAAAATCCATTACTGCATATAAGAATGTGCTCTATCTTCTATTTTTGCCTGAATTATGAAAAAAAAATTAAAAAAGGATAAATGTATGTGACTATTGAAGATTTCACCGGGAGAAAATGTTTTTCACCCAGTTAAAAAGAGAGGAAGTGAGACTGTCACGTCTCTTGATATTCATAACAATAATAGCTTCCAGACATCTGACATGATTTTGAACTGAAGGCCATTTAATTACAGAGAGACTTTCCTTCACATTAATCAAAGTCAGTGCAGAACCAACAGAAGAAATGCACTGAAGATAAACCTGGTCTACCTCTATGCTTATATGGCACCAGGAACAGAGACTCCTGGTTTTGGGATGCACCACTGCTGTGCTGTCTTATAGCAGTGCACATGCAGCAACTTAATTGGCAGAGTTTCTAATTAGGCTTCACTGATACATTAATGGCCTAATCTCACAAATCCACTTTGTTTTAATATGTGAAACTGCATTTCACAGATGCTGATGGTGGGTGAGAATGTGTTTCTGTGAAAGTTGGGAGCAAAATCGAAATTCCTGCT